CCGGCCCCGTCACGAACGTCGGACCCAGACCCCGCATGGACATATCCGATAAGAGCTCCTAGAACCCGTCACTCGTGCCATCGAGGTAACATTACTGACCCCTGTTTTTCCTTATATGATCATTCATTCATCCATTTTCATTCATGCATTCGTTCATTCAATCATTCATACATTCATCTCATACATCCAAGCATTGTATATGCAATTGCTGCATCACAACACTTCGCGTCGTGCCACAAAGCGGTAGTCGTCTCATTCGATATGAGCGGCGACCGACCAAGGTTCGAAGGCCAGCCCATGAAGGGCTCGAGGCTGCCTCGCGTCAAACATAGCCAGGGGAGAAAAACCGAGATGAGCCCCAGCGGCCTTGCCCGACCCCGCTCAGAAGCGGACAGGGACATCTCGACCTTTCTCATTCAATTCTAACCTCGAGCCAAGCCCACAGAATCTCCATCGAGGAGAGGCCAATGGGCCACCCGAGCCTATTGAACGGCTCAGGCATCTACTGGGAGGCGGGTTAAGAAGTAGTGGAATGCCACATGAGGGCTCTGCCAACCCCGTCAGCGGATGACGGACCTAGATTCCACTCGAACATGCCCATTAGCGAGCTCACCGAGGGCGACACTCGAGCCATCGAGGCAAGTGTTGTTAGCTCAGCCCCTCCGGTTGCGAAAATCGAGTACGGGGTGATGCATGAAACACGGCCGACCCCTACCGAACTCCACGGGGCTCAGGGGCTCGAGCCACCCGATCCTAGATCGAGAGACTGAGGTTCAAAGGCTGTCTCATGAAGGGCCCGAGGCCGCCTTGCATCGAACAAAAGCCAGGGGGAAAACGCAGATGAGCCCCAGTGGCCTTTGTCCATCCCACTTAGAAGCGGATAAGGCCATCTCAACCTTCTCGTTCGATCCTAACCTCTAGCTGAGCCCATAGAATCCCCATTGAGGGGGAATCTGTTAGAAGGCGGGTTAAGGAGCAACATAATGCCACACGAGGGCTTTGCCGACCCCGTCACAAGCGATGGAACCGGATTGCGTTTGAACATGCCCGTTAGCGGGCTCACCGAGCGCGTAACTCAAGCCATCGAGGCAAGTAATGTTACCTCAACCCCTCCGATTGCGGAAACCACGGATGGGGCAACAGTCACAAAAACGAGCCGACCCTCGACCGAATCTCCGCTACGCGCGGGGGCTCGAGGAAGGTTGGACTTGCAAGGAGACCGAACGCACGGTCGCAGAACGATAGCTAAGATCCTATGGAGGGGGTACGTGCGAATACAAGAGATTCTTTCTCCTACTAGTTTCGCCATCCCCTCCTCGACCTTCAGTGACATTTGACCCCAGCAATGGCAAGGGGTCGGATCTCACTCGGGGGTTGATAAGGGTATAAATATACCTCTTTTTTGAAACAGTAGCCGCGCCAAACCTCTTCCTCACGTTAAGTTTAGTGGCAAGGTTTGTGGAAACAAATAATTGAGCATGCCTGGTAGGACTACAAAAAACCTACGCCTCAGCGGCTATGGTGTGTTTGCTCACCAGCGTGATTGAAGTTCTCCTCATACAACTCGGGCCCTATGGTCTTAACGAACGGAAGGGTCAGAATACGTGAGCCCCTTTTTTCGCATATAAAAAGGGAAGAAAACAAGTTCAATCAAACAAAACAAAGTTGCAAATTTGTTTTTACGATACATAAGGGTCGACACTTGTCCATAGATTACAATAATGTTCATCCGACCTATTTGACTAACTAGCCCCTCCGAGGGAGAACTACTTCTTTGACTTTGTCTGCCAGGTCCCACACAAGAGGAGCCACCACCGTCTCTATCTCATCCAGCTTAGAGGCTTCGTAGCCAGGCATGAAGCCAAGACTCATTGTCTCCAAGTCAATGCTATCCGCGTAATGAGAGCGAGCAATGGCAAAGGCTTGGGTGACCCCGACGCGAAGAGCGTCCCTCTTGAGCTGGTGCACCCATGCCATGATATCGACAGCACGAGCCATGAGCAAGCTGGTCCCCTCCGACTGCACCACCTACAGGTCATCGTAGACTACTCCGAGGGTGGCGCTCAGGATATTGAGCTCATCGCTCTCCACCTAAAGGTTCCTCCTTGCCTCAACGAGGTCCGTGGCTAGCCCGATAGAGATGCCCTCAACCTCCAGCCACCGGGTTGTTGCAGTTCCAAGCTTGGCCTGGAGGGAGCCGATCTTTTGCTACGCCTCGTCATGCTCTCAGATGGCCTGGTCACGCTCCTCGCGGGCCATGCCATGCTCCGACCGGAGCCTCCCCACGGTCTTGAGCAGTTCATCCCACTCCTTGCATAGCTAGGCAACCACCTTGGCATCCAGATTCGCCCTCTGCTCCTAGGCCACGAACCTCCCCTCGGCTCCCAGCCTTAGCTCCCGCTCCTTCTCAGCCTCAGCCAGAAGGTCGAGGATCTGCTGGCGGGTCTCAGCATCCCTCTAGAGTAGCTGGTCCTGCTCCCTCTTAACTCTGGCGGCCTCCTCCTCATCTTGCCGCAGCCTCGCCGATAGGGCCTCGAACGCCCTCTTGGTTTCCTCCTCTTGCTGATGGGCCTCAGCCTCCCTTTGTTGGGCGGCAGCTCGGCCACCCTTTGTTGGGCGGCAGCTAGCTAGGTGGTCACATCCCCGTGCAGCCGCGCCTCTTCGGCAAGGTGGTCCCAGTTCTCCTTCTGCTCGTGAAGGAACCAGGATTTCTCCGGGCTACGAGCGAAAAGGGACTGAAAAAAGATAAATGTCAGAACACAAAAATACATGAAGAAAGAAGAAGGCGAGAGGCAAGGTCAAGTGAATACCCGGCCAGTGGGAATGATGACTTCGCATAGGACGCCCCTGGCATGGCCCAAGGCCTTTAGCATGGCCGCAATCCCCTCGTTGAGACTCTCCCACTCCGTGCTCTCAGTGGCATCATCGAGGGCGAAGAGTGTCGATGTCGGGTCTTACAGATTCATCCACCGGAGCAGGGCTCATCCTGCATGGGTGAACGGCTGCCCCCCGAGGTCTGGGCCAAGGACGATTCCCCGCCGGTCCTCTCCACCACCGCCGCAACGTCCGGGGAGCCCTCGACTGCATCTCCCTCCATGCGGCCCACGTCAAGCGCCATCACTTGGGCCGCCGGTGGCGCAGATCACGCCGCTTCCTCAGGCACCACCACGGCTGCATCCGGCTACGCCTAGTTTGTCACAGTCGCTGCCACCTCCACCTGCATTAGCAGGGCCTCAACCGCCATCGCCAGCTCCTCGGTGACCTCCGAGGGTGCTCCTTCAGCTCCAGTGCCCGCTTGTCCCACTAAGGGCACGGGTGCCACCGTGAGCGGTGCCTCACCGGCCGACGACGCAATCACACCAGCATCGCTCCTGCCCGAAACGGGTGCGACGTCAGCTGACAGCTGCTGCCTCACCTGAAGGGTGACGCTCTTCTTAGGCGCCAGCGCCAAAAGGTTGGGCCGCCTCAAGACGCTGCAAGAAATAAAAGGCATAAGTCACGCTGAAAACAGAGAAAACAGAGGAGCCGATGACTTACATCGTCGCTGTTGGACGACAGACATGTTTGGGGGGCGAACCCCCAGACCCCTGCTCTGCCTCATCGGGGCGGGGCTATTTTGAGCCTACCCCTGCTCTCGGGCAGAGGGGCTCGGTTCCCTTGCATCCGGGGGTGCGTCGACGGAGCCACCCTCCTCCGTCGGACCTCAGGCGTAGCGGTAGATCTGCCCGCCCTGGCTGGCTCTTGGGGCGCGGCGGCAGAGCCACCCTCCTCCATCGGCACCTCAAGCACAGCAGCAGATCCGCCCGCCCTGGCTGGCTCTTGGGGCACAGTGGCAGAGCCACCCTCCTTCACTGGCGCTTCGGGCACAGCGGTAGATCCGCCCTGCTAGCTGTTGGGACAGGCCGACGGTCCAGCCCATCTCCACCGGTCTCACGGACATGCTTTCCCCTCCATGAAACGGGAAGGGTCCCGACCTCTGCAAGGATGAGCGGGTACCTATCAGCATATCCTCGCTCTCTAGGTCATCACGCTTGGTGTCGTCGACTAGCTCATCATCATCTTCCTTGTCGTCATCGTCACTGTCAGTTTCCTCCCCTTGCTCCCGCACCAGTAGTTTTTGCTGCCTCTTCTTCCTCTCGTCCTCCTTCACCTTCCTCTGTCGCTCGGCCTCTACACAGTTCGCCGCCCTCACGGATGAATCCCTCAGCAACGGAGCCGAGTGATCCCTAAGGATGAGGTCCCTCGGCTGGTCCCCCAATCTTAATGTCAGTGTCAAGGGGTTGAGAGTTCAATTGAAGAGAAGGCATGAGGAAGGGAAAAGTTACTAGGACGATGTATCCTGGTTTCGGCCGCATCGGGGGATGCCCCGGCACCAGGTACACAAAATCAAGGAGGGCGCCCACACTGTCCCGAGAAGGCTCCATTGCCTCCTTGATGTGCTGCGCAACATCAGAGGGGGAGAACGCCCCCTCAACAAGCGCCGTCCTGTCTAAAGATGTCAACGGGGCCCCATTCCCCGATTCCCCATGGGGAATTCACCCATTAGGGGACGGGGATGGTACAAATTTTCTCCCCATGAGGAATTAAATGGGGAAAAAATCATCCCCATCGGGGATGACGGGGATGGGGATGGTATGCATGCCCCCGTCCCCGTTCATCGCGGGGACTCGAAATGTGTGGCTGCTACTTAAGCTAGCAGGGCTAGCTGTCTATAGAGCGCGTAGCTGGGCCAACACGTCATAGCCGCAGAGCTGGGCCAGCGGCTTGAGCAACGTGGGGGCGCAGCTGATGTGCATGGCCCGGCCATCAGCTGAGCCAAGCCACCGCTTCTGCCTCCTCCTCCTTACTCATCACTTGCCCTCTCCCTCGCTGACACCCCAGTCCATTCCCCCTGATCCCCAGACCCCAACCGCTTCGATTACGCGACCCGCCTCGCAAACCCTAGCTCTCCTGCTCTCTCCCTCTCCCATGCGCCCCAAACCCTAGCTTACTGCCCGCCCATGGCCCACCCACCGATCATGTGCGCCTCTGCCTCCGCGGTCCCCATGGAAGCCTCCGCCTCCACCTCCGCTCGTAGATCTGCCGTGGGCCCCAACCCCGGTGGCGCCAAGAAGCCACGCCTCGCGCAGCCGCAGCCACCGCAGGACCCCAGATCTTACGCCGTCGTCGCTTCCTCCAATGGCACCGCCAGCGCTGCTGAGCAAGCGCTCGTCGATGAGCTGCTCGGCCAGTACCGGACCACGCTCGGGGAGCTCACCTTCAACTCCAAGCCCATCATCACCAACCTCACCATCATCGTTGGTGAGAACCTCTAGGCTGATGCGGGGATGGGGATCCCCGCGGGGATTAAATCCCCGAGCGAGGACGGGGATGGGGAAGAAGTGCTCCCCATGAGCCTTCACGGGGACGGGGATGGGGGAAATTTGCCCCCGGGGGGACAGGGATGGGGCAGTAACCCCCGACGGGGAATTCCCCGTTGACATTTCGAGTCCTATCGAATGATGCCCCGGGCAACATCGCGTATAGGGGAAGCACACGGCTCATCAGTGGCACCAGCCTCCTCGTGTGGTAGGCGCCGATGATGCCCGATCCCTTCAGGCCCCTCTCCTTTAGGATTCGGATGGCGATGAGGTGGTCCTAGATCTTGTTCTTGTCCTTCTCTGGGACACCCCACTTCCTCCACGAGTCCGGGACCTCTTCGACTAGGCGCCCGGTGAACTCTGGCAGGAGGGCGGCTGCGTCGTTCTTGAGATAGAACTAATGCGAATGCGACCCCTTGTTAGAGGTTGACAAATGCATTGGCGGGTATTCGCCGACCCGGTTGTTTCAGAGTTGGATGTCGGTGCATCCCATCGCCATGCTCAGCTCCTGCTTCCCCTCCTATTTCTTCTGAAGGGTGACGACGAAGAAGTACCACCATAGATCAAAGTGGGGACTAATCCCCAGAAATCCCTCACACAGGGTGACGAACGCCGCTGTGTGCTGGATTACATTAGAATTGAGGTGCTGCAACTCGATTTGGTTGTAGTACAGCAACCCCTGGAGAAATTTGTGAGCAGGGATAGCAAACCCCCGCTCATGGAAGTGCACGAACGAGATGACATAGCCATCGAGCGGCGACGGCACGTCCTCCTCACTGAGCAGCCGCCACTCCTCGGCGGCGGTCCGCGTGCAGAGAAGACCACGGCAGACAAGGCCCTCCATGCGCTGGAGGGTGATATCAGAGCAGCACCATGGCTCCATTGGAGGATGGGGGTGGGTGGATGCGAACTCGATGGAGGCTGAGACATGGATGAGGGGAGCTTAGGCGATTGGCGGCGGAGGTTGCAGATGTGAAGGCAAGGAGGCAAAGTATGAAACCATGGGGGCAAACCCTTTGGTTTTAAAGGGGCGATGGATGCGAGGAAACCAACCATCCACCTAGATCTCCGTGCCCACCACGATCCGCCACAACGTCACACCACAGGATATGCACACACAACCCCTATCCTTTCCTTCGGGCAGACCGGGACTCGTTATGAGTAAGAGGAATACAAAAAGTGCATCTACGGCCCGTCTAGGCCTCGGAGTTCGATGGTTCGCCCATCAGCGGGTCCAACAGCCGCTGCAAGCACCCCTAGAATAAGGGATGGAAAGAGTTGGGCCCCACAAGCGGCCAGCGCCCAGGCGCACTAGCGTCACGGGCATCTCGGTCCGCGATTGAGTCTCAGCCAGGCTTACCCTGACTGGATCCCCACGAATGGGATACTAGGACCCCAATCAAACTATCCAGCTAAACAACCACCAAATCTCATGACCATACCCGCAAAGGGTCCGACCTCGGTGAAAAGGAATCATCGTCCTCAGGACATGCCGTGGGAAACAATAGAGGGCCAGGGCCCTCAGAGTTCTCTCTTTTGAAAAAGCCTCTGAAGGAGTACTCTACTCCACCGTAGGCTCGGGGGCTACTGTTGGGGACCAATACTAGGGTACCCGAAGAGGAGGAGCAAATGACCATCAATGTTGATTCATTTGTGCGATCAAGAGCGCGACTACACCGCTTGCTGGGTCCCATGTCGTCCGGCCACCAAGGCGGTGGGCCCTGCCTCGTCTGACCCTCGAGGGTAGGCTCTGCCTCGGTGGACGCTGCGGCCGCAGGCCCCGTCTCGCACGACCCTCGAGGGTTGGCTCTGCCTCGGCTGACTCCCGAGGGATGACTCCGTCTCGCCTGACCCCCGAGGGCTAGCTCTGCCTCGCCCAACGTCTAAGGGCTGGGTCCACGTCACCCGACCCTCGAGGGCTGGCTCTGCCTCGCTCGACGACCGAGGGCTAGCTCTGCCTCGCCCGATGACCAAGGGCTGGCTCTGCCTCACCCGATGTCTGAGGGCTGGCTCCGCCACGCCCGATGACTGAGGGCTGGCTCCTCCTCGCCCGACGTCTAAGGGGTGGCTTCGCCTCGCCTGATGTCTGCGCGCGACTCCTTTATAACGACGCGCACAGATAAGGCAGGACACTCAAGTCATCCACAATACCGAGAACCGTACCCTACACACCTATAGGAAAGTATCGTTAGGCCATGCCAGAAGGGTGCTTTGCGACCTTCCAGGCATGTCAGAGCCCAAACAGTGTTATAGGCTCCGACATTTGCCTTATAGTGTTGTGGGTGTTGTCATTTGCCCTCGGGCGTGGATCCTTACGGAAGCTCATGACAATCACTATGGTCCAGAAGGAAACTCGTATCATCCACAGTAACGGACGTGTGGTCACTTTGTTGCCTGCTCCCTGTATGGCCGTTGATCAGCCCCCTGGTCCGTCACGCCGCCCGTCGGGGCGGGATGGGATGTGACAACTCGCTGACAATGCCAGGACATGGCATCGTTAGTGGACAGACATCCAGCGCGGCCTTGTTAGGGTCAGCAGACATGCGCCCAGTGTGGAGCTATCCCTGTCACCGCCTGCCATGTCAGCGGGGCCTGCATAGAGGAAAAGGAAGACCCGGCATCCTTGAAGGACTTCCTTTGCCTCTGTGAAAGGTTCTAATGTCTAGAGGGGCGGTGAATAGCCTAATAAAAATGTCTACAACAACACTTAGCAAACCGGTTAGACAATTATGAGGCGATGCAAGAGTTGCGCTAGCCTACTAAAATTGCAAGCCACCTACCACAATTCTAGTTGATATAGTTTATATCCACACAATAGCTATGTCACTAGACTAAGTTAGTGTGCTCTCAAAGGCTAACTAAAGAGTCACACTAACCAAACTAACAATCTCTCACAACTAGCTACACTAAAGAGCTTGACAACTAATTTGCGGTAATGTAAAGAGAGTGAGCAAGAAGGTTATACCGCCGTGTCGAGGAAGGAGCCAATCAATCATAAGAATGAATAACAATGAAGACCAACCACCTCGGAATCAAAGGATGAACACAATGATTTTTTACCGAGGTTCACTTGCTTGCCGGCAAGCTACTCCTCGTTGTGGCGATTCACTCACTTGGAGGTTCACGCGCTAATTGGCATCACACGCCAAACCCTCAATAGGGTGCCGCACAACCAACACAAGATGGGGATCACACAAGCCATGAGCAATCCACTAGAGTACATTTTGGCTCTCCACTGGGGAAAGGTCAAGAACCCCTCACAATCACCACGATCGGAGCCGGAGACAATCACCAACCTCCGCTCGACGATCCTCGCTACTCCAAGCCATCAAGGTGGTGGCGACCACCAAGAGTAACAAGCAAAAGCCGCAGCGAAACACGAATACCAAGTGCCTCTAGATGCAAACACTCAAGCAATACACTTGGATTCTCTCCCAATCTCACAAAGATGATGAATCAATGATGGAGATTAGTGGGAGGGCTTTGGCTAAGCTCACAAGGTTGCTATGTCAATGCAAATGGCCAAGAGGGTGAGCTTGAGCTGGCCATGCAGCTTAAATAGAAGCCCCCACGAAATAGAGCCGTTGTACCCCTTCACTGGGCACAACACGGGGTAACCGGACGCTCCGGTCATATTGACCGGACGCTGGATCTCAGCGTCCGGTCACGCGATGCGTGCCACGTGTCCCCTCTCTTCAAATGTTGCTCGCCCTATCTCAACGGTCAAGAGATGACCGGACGCAGCAGCTCAAAGTGACCGGACGCTGAACCCCAGCGTCCGGTCATTTCCAGTAAGCATCCAGAGACAACTTTTCACGATCGGACGCGTCCGGTCATGCTTGAACGGACACACCCAGCGTCCAGTCATACGGCGACTCCCCTGTGCGCTGCCACGTCAGCAGGACCGGACACAGCCCTCCAGCGTCCGGTCACTAAGTGACCCAGTGTCCGGTCAGAGACCGACGCCAGCGTCAATGTAGCTTCTACTGATCGGACACACCGGTCCAACCGAGGCCAGCGTCCGGTCACTTCCAGTGACCTCTGTCTTTTCTGTCTAGGGCGCCGGTGGCACCGTCGGACTGTCCGCACTCTACGGGCGGACACTCCGCCGGTGAAGTTCCTAACCCTTACTCAAATGTGCCAACCACCAAGTGTATCACCATGTGCACATGTGTTAGCATATTTTCACAAACATTTTCAAGGGTGTTAGCACTCCACTAGATCCTAAATGCATATGCAATGAGTTAGAGCATCTAGTGGCACTTTGATAACCGTATTTCGATACACCCCTCTTAATAGTACGACTATCGATTCTAAATGTGATCACACTCGCTAAGTGTCTCGATCACCAAAACAAAATAGTTCCTACCATTTATACCTTTGCCTTGAGCCTTTTGTTTTTCTCTTTCTTCTTTTCAAGTCCAAGCACTTGATCATTACCATGGCATCACCATCATCATGTCATGATCCTCATTTGCTTCACCACTTGGAGTGTGCTACCTATATCATGATCACTTGATAAACTAGGTTAGCACTTAGGGGTCCATCAATTCACCAAAACCAAACTAGAGCTTTCACTCTGGTTTTTCTCTTTTCTCCCATCTGTAATCCCTGCTCTCCCTTGGCCTATAAAAGAAAAATCAGGGCACCCCACTATGGGGATCGATTCACCGCATCACAGCAGAACCACTAGCGTCGAACCTCGAACACACAGTTGAACAACGACTTAGCTCTCGGCACCCATTCGATCTTTCCATCAGGGACTTGGGATCTGTCCCTCTCTCGCCCTTTTTAACCCCTACTACGAACTTTTCAGTTCTAATAACACGAGCAGCAACCACGAACTGGACGTAGGAACATTCTGCCCAAACCAGTATAAACATTGTGTCTTTTTAGCATACCATCCAGGCTAGACGCGCAATAATACAAATTTACTCGTTGGTGTTTACTCGAAA